AGAGTACAGCGTGGGTTACTCCCCCTGTTAAGTACGTTACTTATAATCTTCTCGTTGCACGCCAAGCTATTGATCAGATTCATGATTGTTTAAGTCAATAATAAACAGATTACTTCGACTTCTCATGTAGACGGTTGTCTTATATACCTGTATAATCTTGAGTGTTTTATAATAATGGAAATGCATGACCATCATACCTTAAAGGTATCATACACCATCCAAGTCTTGACTAATTGATTAGATAAACCGAAACTTTATATGGTACTTCAGGACCAAATCGGTCTACATCATTAATAGAAAGTCAAGAAGAATAATCTATATGCACATCAAGATTTTAATCAAGTGCGCTCAACGGGTGTTGAATATACAAAGGTCAAACTATTTTGACCGATATTCTACTCAAGATCTTTCATTACCCTTACTTCAGGCAAGTAGCAACTTTTGAACTTCCTTAGAAGTGTTCAAAACTCTGATATAACTCTTCAAGAATTTTACTTATATTCAGGCTATTCGAACTTTGTGATAAGTTTCGATAACATTCAACCTTTTGAAACTCTACAAGAGTTCGGTGCTAACAAAATTGTAATTCATATATGGATTATGAATACTCACTCTAGTATTAGTTATCATCCTAGCATTCAAATATGATCATAAAAGTAGATAGAAAATCATGTTACCAACAAACATAACATATCTAGATAAAAACAAACATAGCATATCTATTATATTCAAAAATATGAACCTAAATTTCTAGACACATGAAGACATTATAATTTGCACAAGTCCTTTGAATTAATTTCTCGAGAACTGGGATCATGTCCCTTTATTTTTAATCCCTCGAGGATTTCATGTAGATGTCATTATTAAGTATCATGTATTAAGTGATCACTATAATCAAGAGACGTATTTCTTATGTTCATTTGTTACCAGATAGCAAATAACAGAAGATTTTCCTTTTCATCCACCACAAGATAAATTGGACTTTGGGAAAAATTTGTTCAAAAAAGAGGTTGCTCGATAATCTTTTGCACAATCACCCACCTAAATTTAGCCCGTATATCACTTGCCAAACTTCCAGTTCGCAAGCAATTACACATCGTCAAGTGCGTATTGCGTCTTTTCATTTGTTGTGGCCAATAAGTTTAATGTCTGCATTTACAACAGACTCCATTTGATGATCCTCATTTTCATTTATTTTACTATTGCAGCATAAGCAATTTTCATGTCGACGTTTTATTGCTAATCGATTCCATGTTCTTCGATAATGAGATCTCACAATCATTAAGTTTCCCAAGTATTCATATACTTCTTCTGAAAGTTAATTCATCATAATGAGAAACTATTCCAGTTTAAAATTCTTATGAATTATAATCACTCGTATTTGCCATCTCTATAGATTTAAACCTTGTCATTTACGAGGATTTTTATCATTTGGAATCGATGATTCTACCACTCATTAAATAGACATTCAACTAACAAATAGTGGTAGGTAGTCCTTCAGGGACACATTATCAAATTCTAAGTTTTAACAGCCTTTTATATAAGATATATTTATACATTCGGTCAGGTAAACATCTGGTCTTAAACATTATCTCTTAAACTTCAGGTTCATATCATCGAGGATCATAATGAGATAATTACATTGTCCATCTGATTTTATAAATAGGCTGTTTTAACTTCTCCCCCTGATGTTAGGATAACTAACTTGCTAAAATGACGATTAACCAATCGAGTAGTTAATAAATCTCCCTTTTGGAGTAACTGACTCATCAAACTAATACGATCAGTCCATCGAGTAGTTAATCCAACATCAATAATCTCAAACATTCAATATTCAACATATATTTCTGACCTCTTTTGGAGGTTCCATCATTGTGCATTGAGGTGGAATCATTATAATATATATTGCACATGTAATCTTTGAAGATGGATATGTACGGTTTCTGACCGAAAATCACAGTTGGGAAGAATATCTGCAATGACCTGTTTGATCTTATGCATATAATTGGTGCCTTTTGTATTTCAACACTTCCTCAACTATAGATGATGTAATTACTTTAATTGCACACATGCAATAAACGATTCTATTAGACCGCTTCATTATTGCTCTTATAGGCACTCAATTTTCAACTTCTATCATTCTGGTATTGAGTCATACACTCACCACAATTGTCAAATCAAAATTCTCGTAAGAGCAGAACATGAAAATCTGTAAGTTACCAATTTAACTCCATAATAAAATTTCTGCAAATTGCAGGTTGCAAATTAACGACAATCATACATGTGGCTATCTCACCAACATATCGATTGATATTCTAATTCGTTGGAAGAAACTCTTGGTTCTCCAAATTTAAACTTTCTTGTTTCGACTTGAAACCAGAATGACTTAAGTAGTTATGCCAAATCATAGAATTTCTCTTCTGGAGAAAAATAGTGAATTAATTATTCAAATATATCAGAATAATTTCGCTCCACATGAGCGTTTACTCTGACAGAGTATTTATTATTCAATTAATTTCATTCTACCATAGTGTTCTTGCTCTTTTGAAAGCAAAGTGTATCGCTACACTGTTGGAGACAACAATAAATTTTCAAATTCAAAATAGTTGTGTTGGTAGAACAATTTACATCATTCTTTGATACCTTGGAGAATATAATGTATCTCAATGCACTTTCTCCTTCTAACATTATCTTACTCTTTTAGGAGAAAATTTTGTTTACTATTACTCTTCCACAGGCAATGATAAATTATAATATTTTCTCTTCAGGAGCATTTATTTGTTTTCACTCTCCGGAATAATTATATTCTACGGAAATTTTCATCTATTTTTGCAGAATAATTCAATGGAATATGCTCTACTGGAGCTTTTAATTGATTTCGTGTTGATCATTGACTAACATCCTTTCAGGGCGATTAATAAAATTCACAATACCCACAGAGGTAATATGAGTTGCACTATGTGCAAAGTATACTTTTACCATTAAAAAATTTAGATCTTGTTTTCTTCAAAACATGTAGATAGAAATGTCAATTAAATAGTATCATTACTATGGTGGCCAAAAGACCACAACACCTTCAGGGTGTTTGACATATTGGACATCTAAATTTTAAATCACAATCAGGGCGTTTGACAAAGATCGAATTATGATTTGTTAATTCATTGTCGACAGTATTAATGAATTCGTCTGTTTTCAATAATATATCGAACATATCAATAAGATAATTGTGGGTATACAGAACATGTGAACCCAATGGTTTTCTATGTCACAACGATAGCATTTGCAATATACTGCTTTTTAACTTCAGGTCAATAGTAGTGTTTTCACTATTTTTCTAACTTCAAGTGGTTAATAGTGTATTTGTCAGAATCACCACAATCATTGTTTCATAATCGTCACATTTACTTCAAGAAATAGACCATGTCTAAATTGAACATGTCTTTAAATTTACTCTCCAACTCCAGGTAAAGAATTGTATATTATATATAATTAATGTAGATTTAATGTCTAAGATTTTCTTTGAAATAAATTATTACCCGCTCACTTCATAGAAAGAAAATAATTAATAAGATTTCATCAAATATTTTACGATAATGCTACTACTGGAGCAATTTAATATGATAAATATGCTATCGCAACATTGCTACCTCAGGAGCAACGTTGATGCATTTTCATATTGCTACTGGCTATATATTTTACTTGCATTAGTAAATATCAGTAAAACAATGAGTAAAGTAGAATATAAAAGTACAAAGTAAAATATGAGAAGGAGATTTCTTTCTATTAATATATTTTTACTAGTATTAATAAACGTATGATAATAAAACAAAGCGTTTTCCTTACAATCTAAATATCAAAGAAATTAATTCTTTAAAGAAAATATTTTTTTTCTTTGCACACATGGATACTATCGCAATTACATGCAACTTATATAAATTTTATACATTCACATGATCAACAATCATATACATAGCTTAAGAATTGCATTGTGATTGTATGATATGAGTAAATAGAATTTATAACAAGAAATATTTTTTCTTCGTATGAAAACCAAATATGCATGATTTATGATTTACCTTTTTCTCCCATCATCATCATTTTGAATCATTAAATTGAACTCCATGATGAACCGTCTCAATGTGGCTAGAGACATGTGCACCGGAAAGTTTTTGAGGTCACGTCGCTTTAGATCATGAAAACCTTTTAAAATATTCATTGAGGCTTCAAGCCTTCAGAATCAAAACACACCATTTTAGGCGGTGGTAGAATTAAAATATTCATTGAGACTTCAGGGCTTCAGAATCAATACGCACCAACTTTCAGGCAGTGGTAGAAACTCTTTTCCTAGAGTTTTCGTGCTGATAATGTGTTATAAAATTAATACTAGACTACTAGTATAAAACTAAGTATAGTAACAAATACGGGAGACAAGAGAGTAGAGAGAGATAAGAGACTTGTATTCAGATATATTTTGAAGAATGATTGAACTCTCTATTTATATAAGAAGTAGGGATAAAAAAATCACCTATCATTAATGCTAAATATTACAAAATCACACCTCCTTGATTGTGAATAGAATAATACATATTAATTATAGAAATTCAATCAAATCAAATCAAATATTTTATTACACTCCCATTATTCTTAATTAATAATAAAAATGTTCAATATCTAACCTTCCCCGCCACGTATAGTTTAATTTCTTTTGTTTGTTTTAGGAAAAAAAACTCCAATCCGAATCAATTTGGATGCAATCATGGAAAACCTGCTAGAACTCAACACATGATCATAAGCGGAATAGGAAATCAAGAATGTACTTGGAATTGGAAAATCCTAATCCTAATCCTAATAAATAATAAATTGCGCCTATATATATATATATATAATAAAGAAGAAGAAAGAAGAGAAAGGTTTGTCTTGTTCGCTCGTGTTACTTCATCATGAGATCAGGCTAGGCAAAAAACACTGATTTTCTGTGATCGCCCAAACAGAAACCCATAATGGAAACCCTCGATATATTCGAAATTTACAGGCGATACTGCGAAATTGTGTCGGGATTTCGTGATTCCGGGAGCAAAGCTCAGCTTATAAGAGAGGCTTTAACAGAGCTAGTTGAATCAAGACGAAAAACAAGACACTCAATCACGGAAGAGATACACACACTTATGACGAGGTTAGGAAATTGTTTAAGGTGTGGTGATTCCTCGGAGTTTTCGCGGTTTTATGATTTCGTGTTCTTCATCTGTCGCGAAAATGGTCAGAAGAGCATCAGCGTCAGCAGGGCTATCAATGCCTGGAGATTAGTTTTGGCGGGAAAGTTCCGGCTCCTGAATCAATGGTGCAATTTCGTCGGATCAAAAAGTCACCGACATAACATATCTGAAGACACGTGGAAACAAGTTTTGGCCTTCAGCCAAATAATCCGCGGAAAAGATGATGATCTCGAACTCCAAGGTTATGACCCTCAAGATGCTTGGCCTATACTGATTGATGATTTTGTTGAGCACATTCACAAGAGAGTGAGGATCAACCCGAAACCAGTTGTTGATCAGGATTCTCTATCTTCTGATATGGTAAGGTTATTAAGATTATCCAAGAGGAAATCTTGTGATGAAGACCAACCAAACGAAGAGGAAGACTTCGGATCTTCCTGTTCTGCAGGGTACTCTGATTCTATAAGAAGTGGTGCAAGAGATTTGAAGAAGGCCAGATTGAATTCCATTGACAATTGTGACGAGAATAATGTGCCGAAAATCGTCGCGAATGATTGCTTGGGAATGACTGAGAAAAACAACCAATTATGTTGTACGGATCAGTCAGCTTGTGCTAGTGAAGGTTGCCGCTTGGCTAAGGGCTTTGCTAGGCTTTTTTGTAGTTAGGACTTGGGAGAGAAGAGATGAGATAGAGGAAGATCCGGTTTGAGACTTTTGACTCATAAACAATCAATCAAGTCTTGATTGCCAAAAGAGGCCGTTGATCTTTTGCAAAATGTACAGAAACCAGAGGTTATGGAGGCTGGATCAAGACAATGTTTATGCTCTGATTATTTTTGGGTACGCGGAATAATCTGGTTTAGCAACTAGGAAGCCTGCCATCAACAATCGCAAAGGACTTTGAGCAGGGGCGACTGAACTAGAGTCTTCTCTTAATAATACTATCTATGTTCTCGATAGATTTTGTTTGTGTTTTAATAGGCTAAGGTACTTTGGTTCTAAGACATCAAAAGATGCTGGTCTCAAAAAACGAGTTTTTGGTTTCCTAATTGTAAATAATAAAAAGGAGATGTAATATTTGTTATGTACGTACCGAAAAGTATTTGATACCATGGGTCAATCACAAATAGCTCAACATCCAAAACAAAATAAAATGGGTCAATACATGAAAAAAAGAGAGTCAACAATAGAAAAGAAAATCGAAGTTATGGTAGCTTTCTGTTTTTCTACATGGTGCATCCATGTAGTAAGCCATATAATTAAATTGGTTTCCAATTCTTTTTTCCTGATTTCAAAGTGGTTTTCATTATTAATTAATTACTTTTGCATTGTAATTTGTTTTTAATTAATTAGTTTTTGAAGGTAATTTGTCTTGAATTGAATGTTTGAAATTTCATGCTTGCACATTTTTATGATTAGGATCAAGGTCGGACTTTTGTGACTACTAGTAATGTAGACGATTATTTTTATATGATAATGTGGACTTTAGGGACAAAGGAAGTATACAATAATTGTAAAGATTGTTTTTTTTTAATAAATTTTTTGGTACAATGAAAGAGGCTAAAGTCTAAAAAGTAAACTATTACGTTTTGTGAACGAGAGAACTCCGTAACCAAGTCACATTTTAATCACATAATTAAAATCAAGTATAACAACTCGTGTGCTCCACGACAAGACTTTGACCTCCCTATTTTGGCCGTCAAAACTCAAAAGGACGAAATCGACTAAAATCTAAGGTAAGGAAGGACTAAATTGACTTATTGAATTTACATAGGACTACATAGCAATCAACTCACAGCAGTGATTTAGTAGTACTATTTACTTCCTCTGTTTTTGGGACGGGAGCACTATAAAATATATCTGGAAGAATATGAACAAATCGAAAGCGGAGGTAATGGAGGCTTAAGAACGGGATATATAAGATATAACCATGAAAGTTGAAGGAGTCACAGATTTCAATCCGATTGTTCAGGGACTCAAGCTCGGAGGAAGAACAAGGTTTCCACAATCTGGGCTTCGCTTGTTATCACTGGCGGGAAGTCTTATCGGTGCTATTGGATTAATTTTTGCTGTGAAAGATGGCAAAGTTAGAGACTTTGTGAACTTCGGATTGCCATGGTTATCTGATGACCGTGCTGCTTCTGACAAAAGATGGGTTGTCAGCGGATTGCAAAATCTCGGCAACAATTGTTTCTTGAATGTTATTTTGCAGGTATAAAATCAAACTCATCCGTAACTGGAGAACTTGGTTTCTTTTTAATTTTGATGTCGCCGATTTTCTGTTATGGTTGTTTTGATTATGTAATATTGGCTAGTTCAAGGGCAAGTTTTATTGGTTTCCGCACAATGTGTTGGTTTGCTATACTCATTTGGATATTGATTTTTTGGCTTAGGCTTTAGCTAGCTGTTCAAGTTTTAAAAAATTTCTAGAGGAGATTATTGAGGAATATGAGTCTGGAATTGGAAGAGTTGAAGAGAATCCAAAAACACTGCCCCTTGCTGATGCTCTTGCATCTCTTCTCGAAGGTTGGTATATTCTTATCAAGATTTATGCTGTAATTGGCCCAGCTGTCTAGATGAGTCCAATTAGTTGCTTTTTCAGTTTTAATCGAAGTTTGGTTATTTACTGTCTTCTTTTCTTTGAGTATAAATGATATCTGAGAGTAAAAACTTCGTTTGGGTGATAGAACATGATACTGGTTATTCATAATGCATGCCATGTTTTGTTATAAACCGTGATGTTTTAATAGTTTTTGTTGATCATGAGTTTGAAGGAAATAAGTGACTGGATGGTCACTTTTGGAGTATTAGATCATCTATCCACATGATAAAAGAGTGTTTTTCTGATCATTATGACGAGGATGTTACTAATCTCTCATTGATACACTTAATAATTTTGGGAAACAGAAGGCAAAAAAATGTTATGTAAAGAAGCAATGTCTACGTAGTTAAAGTATTCAGCTTTCTCACTTAATTACGAATAAATATTGCAAAGCAAAACCGATGTAGAAAAGAAATCAAAATACTTTTCCATAAACACCCAATAAGAAGTTTCTGTGCCCTGTTCCTTGCTTCCTCGTACATAAAAGCCAATCACCTTTTTTCCTTTTGAAGCTTATTGTTGATTTCTTCTCACAATGAGAAGCTTGACTCTAGGTATACTGAATGTGATAGTGAAGATCAGGGGAGTTTTCCCTAAAGTGCTTGAATGTAACATAAAGTAATAAGCACTTCGTATTTTAAAGTAATATACTAAAAAAATTATGGCTATATGATTTTTGGTTCACGTTATAGTCTAATTTCTGTCTGTCATGTTTTAAAGTGATAATGACTTCGGTTAATTGAAGTTTGTCATGGTTCAGTGAGTTATTAGATGTATACTTGCATATGCACCCACCCAAATATTGTTCTTCGTGAACCTGTAAATAAATAGGCTGATAGTGGCAATAATTATGTCTACCTTCAAAAACTTTTTTTATTGATTATGAGGCTTGTTATGATCTGGGTGTGCTATGAATTTGTATTCTTTTCCTCTTTTTTTTTTATTTTATTTTTTTTAATAATTTTTTAATCATCCACAGAGTTATCTGCTGTCCATAATGAGGTATCCGTGCTAAATCCACGAAAGGTGATGACTGCAATGGATCATTACGTGCCAAGATTCAACTTAACTAGCCAACAGGTGAATTTTTAATTACCTTTTGAACTGTTTACTATCTGAATTACCCAGGCATGCTAAATAGTCCTATCATTCTCCTTGTATATAGGATGCTGAGGAAGCATTCTTTCATCTTCTTTCTTCTTTGAGAGAAGAACTGTTCGAATGTTATGTACCCAATGATAGCTCCTTGGTTGATGCGACGACATCACGAAATTTCAGAATAATATCTTCATCAACAAGGCTGAAGGGGTCTGAACAAGAAAGGTGGCGGCGAAGTTTTATTGGACCTTTTGATGGGATCATTGGCAGCAGTTTAACTTGCCAAAGTTGTTCATATCAGGTTGAAAACACTTGTAAGGCTTTTCTATTGTAATATGTGTCTAATATCTAATGGGCCTGCTTTCAGGTTTTTATAGATTAGGAACTGCATTTGATAGTATTTGGGAGCTTATGTATGAATAACTTTCAGAATGAGTTCAAGGTTTTGTTGTATTAGATATCCCCTATTGGCTTTTAAGCTTAGATATCCTTACGAATTATCTAGGTTGTGATGAATCTTGCTCGTGGGTTTACTATGTTGCTTCTTGCCTCAAATGTCTTAATTTCCTACCGCATTTTCAATAAAATAATATGTTCTTGTCTCTATTGTATGCTTTGATAGATTGCTTCCAAGTTTGAACTGCCTTGATTTCTTGTGTACCAGTCTTCTTCTCTTGGAGTCTAATTCTTCTGTTTTGGAACTTAGATCTCCCTGGATTTTCAGTTGTTCCACTCATTGCATCTGTCACCGGTGCGCAGCTGTGGTATTGCAATTGTAAGTTAGGGTAATACGTCATTCTTTATTTTATCTCGGAACCAGTTTTCGGGTTTTCATCTGGTCTTTTCTAACTTACAGAATACTGGATGCTCCTTGGTGGATTGTTTAAGTAAATTCTTTGCCTCGGAACAACTTGAGAACTATTTCTGCACTCATTGCTGGCATGTTGCTGCTATGAAGTACTTAACTGTTGTGAAAAATCAGGTAATTTTTTCATCGTGCTGTTTAAACATCTGTCAATGCATTTTCTTACTTTCTCATAAAGTTAGTATTCGAGGTCTATGTTTGTCCGCCAGCTTAAAGACTAGTATATTGCTTGCTTAAGTCAATAGAGTCTGTATGTTCTCTTTTTGTTTTTTTTTGTTTTTTTTTTTTTTTTTTGTAATTTCTTTTTATTCTTCTTAGGCAGATACTGAAAAGCTTCAGCAGTGTAACGAGGACGATTCATGTGACTGCAAAGATCTACCTTCTCTTAGACATTTGCCTTGGTCTAATAGTTTCTCGAGAACTTTCAAGCAGCTTATTATAGCTCGTAGTCCACAGGTAACTAAAGTATTTCAATTTCTCCCATGAGAATGTTATTAAATGTACTGTAGAGACATATAGCGCAGAGCATTATGCATAGGCCTTTTTAGTACCGTTAGAAGATGTAATGTTTTTGGATGAAGTACTGTGGATCGTCCTGCCTGTGGATAGCGAAGAGGTGTAATTTATATATAGGTCTTTTGTATATAGGTCTGTGGATAGCGAGGAGGTGTAATTTATATAGGTTTTTGGATGAAGTACTGTGGATCGTCCTGCCTGTGGATAGCAAAGAGGTGTAATTTATATATAGGTCTTTTGTGTTATAAATTATAGGCCTTTCAGTATAATTTGTGTCCAAAAACAGTTAGGTTCTTTTAGTTATAGTAACCAAATGGCTTACATGGGTGTCTAGTTTTCCCTTATAAAGGTTAAATGCTGGTCTATTACCTCACAAAGGTTTAGTTTCTCTCTTATTTCTGAGATGATAATGAGCTAAAGAACCAGCTTTCTTGATTTCTTTGCATTTTTACTCATGGGTGAACATAAAATATTCTAGATTAATAGTTTTTTTTACCTGCATGAATTGTATCAACTTGATGTAAATGGGAACGAGTGCAAGCTTTCTGTACAATTGACAAATAAGCATCAGGAGAGTAGATTGGCTCATGATATGCAAAGTGAACATGGAGACATATGATAGCAACCAACCTTTGGATTTTAGTTTTTGGGACAATAATTGAAAAATAATTTCAGAACTCAGTATAATTATACAATACATAGTCTTTTCATCCCATTAAACTTGAATTCTCATGTTCATTTTATTGTCATTAAAAATCTGTGATGCATTTTCACTAGTTTTTGCTTTTGTGTGCAGATTCTATGCATTCATCTTCAACGGGCCTCAGTGAATCTTTATGGAGATTCCATCAAACTTTTGGTACCTAGCCTTCTATCTTCTGTACTGCTTTTATATGTAAATCATTTTCTAAAACCTTTTCTACATCTGATTCTTTTGGATTATTTCTGCTCTCAATGGTTATGTATTTGTGGATGAGATCTTTATTTATTTTTGAGGAATAATCAACCAATCACAAACTTTCATTGAAAATTGTAGGGGCACATTTCTTTTCCATTGATTTTGGACCTGTCACGATTCATGAAGCGGGTAAAGAACTTGGCTGAAAGTTCACATCTGGGGGAAACACTAGGTGAATATCAGCCAATCCTATCTTGTACGGACCATCAAAGTTTGCAGCTTGATGCGGATTCAAAACAATGCAATGGGCAGACTGGAAGATGGATTTCTTCAGGAACAGAGATTTCAAAGCAGCAGCAAACTGCATATGCAAGCTCTAAAAGTGTTAGCGGTATCAAGGCTTGCTCGAGTGTGCTTGAAAATAACACTGCTGCAGAATTTATCACGGACTTCATTCCTAACAATTTGAATTACAAGGTTAGTTTTTTATCTTCTGGAGTTCATTCAATTTTGTTGCTCAAAATATGTGTCCATTACTCTGCCATTATTATATGAAACTTTCTTGATTTTGACGAAAAATTGGAGGTCTAAAATCTTCTGTGGAAATTTGATGTTCTGTAAATTTTGGCAAGATAGACGAGTTATAACGATTTCTCCAAGGGGCGTACCATTTAAGTACATCTTGAGGGTTGGAATATATCCTTCAGGGGCAAAATATAGAGTTCCTAGAAGTTGTCATTCACATTCTGCAATGTTTGCTAAATTTCTTCGTGTGTGGATTCTCAATCTCATTCTCTCCTTGAACTTTCTCCAATGTATCCTAAATCCCTGATTCCTGTCATACTCGCATTTTACAGGAACTTCTTTAGGCCTGTGTGTTCCTTACCACCATCTGTTTAATCTACTTTACAACATTTTCCCCAACCCCTAAACCTCCATGCTTCCAAGCTGACGTAGTTTCCTCATTTCTTTCCCCAGGGAGGTGAACCACTCTCGTCTGAACTTTCCGAAGATCAAATGTATAGACTAGTCTCCGTTGTCCAGCACTTTGGAAATGTTGGAAGCGGTCATTACACGGTGTACAGAAGAATGAAAGCTGAAAGTCGAGATGAAGATCCCGTCCAACTGTTAGAACCGGCCCATGTACAATGGTTTTCCATATCAGATTCCGAAGTTCATATTGTTTCGGAAAAGGATGTTCTGGAAGCAGAGGCTAGTCTGTTGTTCTATGAAAAGATGGTCTGAAACTGAAAGCATTTTGTCAGAATAACATCATAAGCTTCGGTGGGTATTTTTCCCAGTAAACCAGTAAACTTCTCCGGAGATGATCTTGGACCGGGAAATATTTTGCAAGATTGCTTGCAGAGGTGAACTCTTGAAGATGACATCACCATACCCGAAAAATAGGTGAGCCCTAACATTTCAACCAGGCATTATAACTGAACATTTAGATATTTTTTTTGGCTTGGACCTTTTCCTTTCAAGAATTGAGGAGTACAAATCGTTTCTTCTTTTTCTTGAAGTTTACGCCTCCCATGTACAGTTAAGTAGATGTAGGCATTCTTTTCTTTCATTAGATGGAATGTAAATATGTAACTTTAGGAACACAAATTTGCAAAAAAAAAGTTATTGTGAAAGAATTCTTGCTTTCTTCTCCTACATAGTCTACTTCACAAAGAAAACAATAACAGTGTACAACTTCCAAGATGCTAATTAGTTCCCTTAGAAAAATTCACAGATGAAAGCAACTAACTGATTTTTTGGCTTTCCACCCGTAATTTCTAGGGAAACTTTCAAGATTCACCAAAACAACAAATTAATATCGAGAACCACAAAGCTAACTTCAAATCTTCAATGACAATGAAGCAAAATTTGGAGCGTGCTTATTGCAAAGATGGATTTGAGTAACTATCAAAATACATTAGTTATAGAACTATGTTTTTTTTTTTTTTTTTAAAAAAACTCTTATTAAAACAACTTACATAAAAATGAAATAGTGTTCCATCTGTCTAAAATGATTGTCCTGTTTGTTGAATCGATTAATGATTTAATTTGTCTACCCTGAAAAATAATAAACAAATATATAAAATAAAATCTTTTCTCTCGAATATACCCTCATCAAACCATCACCACACTCGTTTGGAATGAGATTCGAAACTAGTTGAATTGATTAACACGTAATCCAACATCTGTTGTGTCGATGAAGATCGACATTAACTTGGTTCGAGGTCAAAATCAAGAAGTAGAGATGAAGAATAACAGAAAACCCAACTATATATATATATACATTTGTCATTTGTGAAGCTACTTGGGGAAAGAGGAAATACTCTCTTGCGAAATGATGACGCTGATTATTACGAAGAAAAGGAAAATAAGACAAGCTGATATTAACATCTATGCAATTAATTAACATTTAAGCACTAATTGATGTACGTACATGCTCCAATTAAGTGACGCTAGAATATATACGAAAATCTTTTTAACAAACAAAAGCTTCCGTTATATTTCTTTTTCTTAATTACATATGTATCTGAAAACCCTAAATCTAAGGTATACAATATTGTTCTATATAACGCAGTTGACCTCTACACATGAATCTAATTAAGCTATGGCTTTTATGACTTAACTTTTTCTAACTAGCTAATTCACTAATTAACCAGCCATAATCTATGTTGCTAAAAAACAACATATATAATCCTCATCTAACAACTTTAATTTGCTTACATTTGTTATAGATGAGCTAGTTATGAATTGGAGTCTTCTTTCTAGCTGGACTATAATCCATCATTTCCAACTGATCTTTGCTAATTGGCACCTCTTTTGCTGGTGCACTTATCATTTTGTCGCCTCCATTTCTGTTGGAACTTCGATTACTCTTTTCCTTTGGCATGCTTCTCGCTGCAAACACATAAAAAGAAAACTAAATCAGTATCAATATTTAATTAATTTTCACCATAAAGATCAACAAAGATCCGTCGATCGACTCGGTTAACTCACCCTGGGAAGTAACCAATAGGAAGCAAAGCAGCAAAGAAACCAAGAGAATAACTTCCTTCTTTGGGAGAACGGCCATTGCTTTTCTTCTTGTGTTTATCTTTCAAAGAGCTTTTGAAGGTGAAATTTCTTTATGTATTATATCTTCAGGAAATGCATAAATATAGAAGCTATATATATAGTACAAAAAAAAAAAAAATTAGAAAAGCAACTTCAAGTTGATGTAATTGATATGTGTAGGGTTAATTGTAAGCCTTATTGCTGGATTTTGATATGTTGTTCAACATCTGGACCCTGCCATGGGTCATTCAAATTCAAAGTCACCATCGATAATGTTAGGGTAGTCTTGCATGAGAGAGCTATATTGCCTTACGTAGTGCATGTAATGATGTAAATATGTAATTGACTTCACCAATTAACTAATCTAATATTTAGTATGATAATATTAAGTATTAATCTAATATTAATAATATGAATCCGATGATGAAGATTTCGATATGGAGTACGCAATCGAACAAGAATCATTTTATAGTGAAGTATCTGCTCCAATATATCCCAATCATTCGAAAAAAACAAAGTCTAAAAAAAAAGTTCAAGTTCGTCGGTCTCTTAGATTGAACAAGGATTCAACTTTACTTTAAAATCAAAATTGTATTTGATATGGGATTTAGTATATTCGCTGTCCTATTTTTTCTTTCTTTCTAATAAAACTTTTTGTTCGTTTTTTTTAAAAATTACTCATTCTATCACAAAATGATTTTTCTGTTTGAAACTTTTACATTACAATCTGTAATAAAAATGATAAATGCAACATTAATTGATGTAATAATATATTATGTGCATAAAACACTATTAATTCGACTTGAGTGGTTTTCATCAATTAAAATAATTCATTCCCTTAGGAAAAAGACCACGCGAGCTTGTAAATGGATCCATTAAAACCAAAAACGCATTTAGTCAATTTAATTTTTGCTCGACTCTGATCAAACTTTTTTCAATATACAGTTTTATAACATTAACTAGGTACTCTCAACGAAATCATCATAAATATGAGATATACTAGTAAAGAACACTATACCGGATTTTTATATTATTTATTTGTTTATTTATTTATTTTTAGATTAGCTCTAGAATGTATGTCATGTAGGCAAAAATTTTCGGTCACTTCTTGAATATGTCGAATTAATAAAAAATTTTTGTGGTGGGCTTTAAAGAAACCACATTCTGTGTTAGTCAACAGTACCGATGGTTACCGATTATTGGCTGAGTTCTGAGAAGTATTATCAATCATAATTGTGAGTGTTCGTCGATAGTGATACTAGTTACAAATGGTTTAGTACACAAATTTAATTATTACTAGAATTGTTTTTGTTAACTACTTCGCCGTTGATTACATAGTATTTCTTAAATATAACATGTATTTCAAGTGTCCCATATTGATATCCTAACTCATGTATAATATTTTTGGATCTCATTACTCTTAACTAATTGGTTTTGAGTTTGAACTCCAAGTTCTTTTACCGTATCTTTGGCTCAATTGGGAGGGTTGACATGATATAATTTTTCACTTCATCGTATGAAACCTTTGACTTAATCAATGTATAGTAACTTTTAGGGTTTATATTTTATTGTACCGAAAAAAGTCAATCACTAAGATCGCACCTGTCTTTCCTAACTTTTTCTCATGCTTCTAATATTACCCTATAGAACTGTAGTATAGAATGTAAGTATTCAATCTGCTTATTTTCTTGGTTCGAGTTTACGATTGGGGTACATGCTTTTTCTACGCGGACTGTTCCTCAATTAGAGAGGAAAAAGCAAAACCACATCCATTTTTGGGATAGCAACTAATTTTCGTCAAATCATAGAAAATTTTATGTATTATAATAAAACTTATAAAATCGTTTTCGGACAAGATCGGCCCCAAAATCGTAATCGGATATGGGGATTGACATTGTCACCAACAAAAAATCACATGGCATTGCAACACATTTCAACTACATTTGTGGGGTGCTTCTTGTCTTCAACAAAGTTACAAAAACCAAACATTTTGTTTCCTTCTCACAATAACTTTAGACAGAGACATAAACGGAAATTTCAAAAGATATTTATAAAGAGAATGAACCCTATGAATTACATTTATAAAGAGAAGGAACCCATATTCTTAAGTTAACTTTTCTTTTTTGCTTGGTATTTGACATGATATATAGATGTCACGCGTTATTTTAAATGGACGTGTATCACAGTAGTATCGAACTTTAATTTAAGGGAACTAAACTTATAATCCGTCGGCGGACGTTGGCTAATGTAACTTTAATTATGTATGTACGCGCTTGTTGAGCTGAAAATTGGTGTACAAAGAGAATAAAATGATGAAATGATCATGAAGCAAGCAAACAAATTATTGTAAAAAGAGAACGAACTGAAGATTGATAGATAAGTTTTTTTGGGTAAATAATTAACTGATAATTTGATATGCAACAAATCAAAATGCGTACGTAGGGTGTGTGGTCGGAAGAGAAGATGTACCAAAAAATCACCACGCAATGCTGTTACGTTTTTGTAAGCAACAAGACGCGCGACGGATAAAAATCACACTGATTGTCTACTCCACTTTAATAGTTTTCTTTTGAAGAAAGATAAAAGAAAGTAAACTAAAGAAATCGTCTTCACACATTAATTTTCGCCAAAGATTTCAAATTGTTTGATGCATCATGCATGTATATGCGTAACAACGTGACTCTTCACTGTCTAAATAATACTTTGAAGAAACCGAAATCTTAACAAGGATACAGAAAGCAAGGAACTTAACAGCATTCATTTAGTTTGTGTTCAAGGTCGAAACATGATGAAATTAATGTGTTTAATGACTTCGAACTTAGTTACTTTTGGATATTTTATACTCCATCTCTCCCAAAAAAAATATTCAGTTTGTTAAATTAAAATAGTAAAACAAAATACTCCATCCGTCTAAAAAATAGTTCATTTTGTTGAATTAAAACGGTAAAACAAACTGAACCATTTATTTGGGACGAAAAAATTTTCCTAATTAATAACTTATATAGTTCAAATGTTTCAGAATAACTATATATATATACATATATATTATAGACACACACACACACACGTAATTTCAAGTTCTGACTCCTAAACGATCTTGTTAATAGGATTGTGCGATGAGCTAAAATGCGAGCCTCCCAAGCCACAACTTTCTTTTAGACCTTGTTTATGTGTACAAAAATCTCAAGATGAATAGCTCTTCCATAGTTTCAGCACACAGCTCAAAATCGATGAAAAATGAAAAATGCACCACGAAATAGAATGTAAATATAGAAACTGTGCACCAAGAAAAGCCATCAAGTGATTAATGAACTAAGATTGTATGGACATCAATTGCATTTAGAGTTTTGTTTTGGATTGTATGGAAAAAATGTATAAATAATTAAATCTAACAGATTTCGGTTCATACTTCATAGTCAAGAAGAACCAAATAGTAATCATTTAGGTCTACACAAAAAATGAATGGAGTTGAACAAACTAAACTGATTTTCTATCAGTTTCTGGACTTAAGTGAAAATTGACAAGCAAAATAGTAGAAGTTGGAACTAATTGCATGGAAGTGTCATAATCGAAATTATGGAGGTAACCCGGCAGATTTATTCAAACTCTTAACCAGTCGCTTCTTTGTCTATGTCGGCTGTTGATAGGAATTAGGAGAATGATCCCTAGTAAAAGCATAGTAGTACGCGATACGCGATATGTATCAAAATCAAAGATTTCGATACATATCATTATATGTATTACAATCGTTTGTGTATCTTATTGATATGTATCGTACGATACATATGATACACAATACGATTTTGTATCGTACGGTATAAAAATATCGGCAAAAAATTTTTTTTCTTAAAAGAATTCAAATTATTGCTCAATAATAACCATTTAAATTTCAAATTAAGAGCGGATTTCATTTATAATTTTTTTTAAATATTTTTTTTTGATTTATTTCTTTCACAAACATAATCTTTCTTAATTGACGATAAAATCGCTTAATAAATTATTCTAATTTCAAAAATAAAATAATGAAAAATATTATTTTATTTATAATATTATTTTCTAAATCAAGTATGACTAATAACATGTTGAATCAATGCAATACATGTTATTTATTTTCTCACCATTAAATTTATGGATATAATAACAACTATTATGAAAAATAATATTTATTACATAGGTCTTACAATCATTATTCATGTAATGAATGAGTAATTTTTGAAACTTTCAAATAATTTTGAATTCAACTTTATCAATTCGTTTGTTTATAATTGAAAAATACAAAATATAAATAGATCAATTACAAATGGGGTTTACGATATTTATCATTTATTATATATATTAGTATATTAAAATGTATCTTACGATACGATACACGATATGATATGCATATCATAAATTTAAATTTTCGATACACAATACGTATCACGATTTGATTGATTGGCATGCATATTTAATTTAATTAAGATGTTTAATTTTTTTGGGTACAGTTCTAATTAAACAAGCTCATAGTCTCATACCACGTTCAATCTAAGAATCCGGACTAGGGTTTGGGTATGTTTAATTTTGGGATTTTCAACTATCATTTATGGATTTTATTTTATTTTTTAAAAAATAGTACTAGCTATAGGAGTTGTTCTCGCACCACATTTCCTTTGTGTTTTCGTATAATATTGTTGGAGTTACCTATTTTCACTTGTAGCGCAGCAGTCAAGGCAGTATGCCTGTTTCCGAAATTAAAACAACATCATTTTCAATAACAAAAAATATATTTATGAGAAGTACAGGTTGGCGACTTTTGCACAATTATCCGAAATGATTGTAAAAGTTGAATTTTCATTTTCTACAAAAATTTTATTAAAAAGTAAAATTTTAAAATATGAATTTTATTTTGGAATGGATGGCGAGTATTAAAATGAATTGTGAATTACATATTCATAATTATAACTTCAACAAATTTTACTTTATCATGATCAAATAATTTGTATGTCATGGTTATAAGGAATATATAAGGATCTTAGTTCCAAATCTTTTGACAAGAATGGATGCTTCCTCAAGACAAGCCCACAAAGGCTGCCGGCCACCACCCATCGGCCACCATGGAATGAAAATGATATATCCGTGAATAT